TGGCAAGCTGCAGCTGCCAAGAAGCCAATCAGAGGCTGGGCCCCAGGGATCTGCCCCCCCCCCACACACACACTTGTTAAGCCCTCCCCTGCTGAGCAAATGGCACTAGTAATATAAGAAGCTTAGAGACACATTTGGCACAAACAATTGTTGTACGCCATGATATGAAGTCTGCAGAACAGCCCTCTATGGTGGCTACTACAAAGCAAAACAGAGCGCCTCCATCGTGTAAAAAGTCATTTATTTGTACGGCAACACAGCTGAAATCATACTCACAAAAAGGGTCGATCAATAAAAGCATGTAAAAGGTGATGCAATGGAAATCTCTGGCAGCGGGAGCCCCTGAAACGCGTAGACCGTTCGAACTCATAGGGGCAGAGGACCTTTGATTTGTTTCATTCTGTGAGACTCCCGCTGCCAGAGATTTCCATTGCATCACCTTTTACATGCTTTTATTGATCGACCCTTTTTGTGAGTATGATTTCAGCTGTGTTGCCGTACAAATAAATTACTTTTTACACGATGGAGGCGCTCTGTTTTGCTTTGTATTTCCCAGATCGAAGGTCTATTTGACCGGTGGGAGCTGCCTCATCTGTGTATCTACAAAACGTCCAAATTGGCTATTCACTTGCAACCGGCGGCGCCGGTATCTGTTTGGTTGTTACTTCTCTATGGTGGCTGTTCCATATTTGCGTCTTCTTAGCACTGAAATGTGCACATCGAGTTAGGCAAGTGGCAACGTCAGCTCCCACCTGTCGGTGGGCACAGACCATTCAGGGTGTGGGTCAGGAGCTCAGCCAACTTGCAAACTGAGAAAAAAAAAAACCCAAACCACTGTTCATAGGATAGATTTAGAGCAGGGGTAGGCAACCTTGGCACTCCAACTGTGGTAAAACTGCAAACCCCATCATGCTTGTGGCTGTTGGTTGCAATGCCTCCTGGGACTTTTAGTTCCACACCAACTGGAATGCCAAGGTTGGCTACCCCTGATTTAGAGCAATAAACAACTACAAAGTGTCTGTTTACTCTGGAGCTCTCCTTTAAGCATCTTGCCCTGTAGACAGAGACAAGGTGACTCCTGTAGAATTTAATGTATGAATAGCTGAGGTTTTCCTCCCCTCTGACCCAGCACAGGAATCCGCACACTTATTTATAGCACAATAACCAGCTCATTAAATATGCAACATACAGTCTGCGGATGTGCCACAGATCTGCTGCTTTTTAAAAAAGGCAGAAATATCAAGTTATTATTCTCTGCAGCTACCAGCTCTGGGCAAGAAGGGCGAGGAAACCATCAACTATTACCACTACTGAGGACATCTATTGGGGCACATTGACCAGGAAGTTGCTAGACTTATAATCTGGCGAAGGTTTAAGCCACCAATGGTTAATGCACTGTATGGTTATTGGCAGACTTGTGATCATGGATGTCTTGCATCCACTTATTTTTTGCATGGGATTATCCCTAAAAATCTCCGATGGGTACAGGTGAAAATATATTTTTATTTTTAATATACAATTGTTGTCTGTATATAACCAGCAGGGGAAACCTGGTGCTGTTCCGTTTGTCTCTGTTAGTATGGTACAATACCAGCAGGTTTGCTTTGTAAACTACTCCATGTTGTCCCCATGATTGGCTCATCATGATTAGAACCAAATGGTGATCACATGATCAAACCACCAATCACCCGTGGGAGACCAACACATTCTACGACCAGTCTCAGAATCCGGATCCCACACGAACTTACATCTTTGGCGGTCTGAAGGAACCATTCCTTGGCAGTTTCGGCGTTGGTTATGGTTTCCTGAGTGGTGAAAGTCTGAGAGATGGAAAGACAACGATAATAAAAGTTATTAAGTTAGAGCAATTATACTCATGTGAAGGACTAACAAAATTCAAGTTGTCGGTCCAAGCCGCGCCTGCACATTATAGAAAAATTCTACGGGACCATTTCCTACACAGGATTAAGCAGGTAGTGGTGTACAATGGGCTTACAGTCATCTACACCCATCCCCTACTATGGGTGGCTGTATGCCACAGCTGTGTATTCCGAGTGTGGAAAGTCTCCTTCCTCAGGACACGGCCCCATAGCAATCTATAGGGGAATTAATGTGCAAGTGCAGCCAGGACAGTGAATTACACCGCTGGATGTAAACAAAACAGCAAAATAGCAGTCTTTGGATCTCAGGAAGTATGCATCTGCAGGGGCAAAGGGGGGGTTAGGTTAGAAGGGGCGAAAAGGATAAGTGCACTTTGTCTTAGACTACACTTATCCTTTAGGACAATCTTGCCAATAAGAAAAATACATTACAATGATTATTACGGTGATTATGATGAATTACGATTATTATTAACATAACCGCCCAAGGAATAGGCATAAAAAAGGGTCTTCCTCGGAAATTAATTTTTTGTATGTCCAAGATAGAGGATGTATTTTTGATGCGGAGTGTTGCTTAACAAGTTATACTTTTAGAATTTTTCACTCCGTGTTGAAGGCTGTGGCATGTATAAAAGTAGAATGAACAATCCTGAAGGAGGTTATTACAAGGAAACTGAAGATTCCAGTTGGACACCTTGTCAAGAGCCCCATCCGGCCCCCCGGTACAGGAGAAAAATGGGTCAGAAGAGGATGAGCCTCGTGTACACAAGTGTATGATGCTGTAGACCGTTGGCGTATTTCCATGCTTGGGATTAAAAGGAGAACTATGAGGGGAGTGCTTTCCACTCACCTTATAGTTCTAGCCAACCTGTGACAATGAGACAATCACAGGTCGGCTCAGTAGATCGGGAGGTGAGCGAACACATACCGGCGTTCGCTCACCTCTCGATCCTGTCACGGCTCTCTGCCGCGACAGGGGAGGAACTGGATTCCCCCCTCAGATCCTCCAGCGCTGACTGGCGGAACGGACAGGGGAGGGGGTGGGTACAGCTGGCTCTGCCTCTAGATAGGCAGAGCCAGCTGTCAGTCACACAGCTGGGCGGATCCAGACATAATTGTCAGGATCCGCTTCAGCTGCGGTGTCTTAGTATAAAAGGCAAGCAGCAGCTCGTGGTATACTGAGCCTAGGGTGACGGGAGGATGCTAGTTTGTGTGCTCCCGTTACCCTAAGGAGAACTATGGGGAAAAGACTTAACCCCATAGTTCTCCTTTAAGAGCTGTGGTGTACAGCCATCCATGCAAGTGGGTTTATGCTGCTATTTGCAAATACTCATGCATGCATAAAGCTGTACATCACTGGGTGCACAGTAGCTGCATCCAGGGTTGTAAGCCCCTTCCCCTACATAGGATTAAGCAGGTAGTGGTGTACAATGGGCTTACAGTCATCTACACACACACCTAAGAAACAAGAGGCTCATGCCCCATGAATTGTTAGTCACACATGCCATTTGGTAACAGGCAACCCAACTGTCCATCCAGAGCTGCTGGTTTATAACCTAGATACAGCCTGTTATCCAATTGTCCATCCAGAACCGCTGGATTACAGCACAGGCATGGCTTAAATGCAGAGCCATTTATCCTACTGAACACCCAGGTTTCAAGTTACCTCTCGTCAGTGCAACATACAAAAGCCTCTACAGCAAAAGGCTTAGAAAGCAACAAGTCAGAACAGCTCCCCAATATTATATGTGCCATGAGATTTGCCAAAATGCCAAGCACATTCAAATGCAAATCAAGATCAATATAGGTCTTGGGCAGATTTGCACACTGACACCTTAGGATCTGTGCACCAAGCAGTCCTGTATCTACACCATCCCATTATATAACAGGTCGGGTCAGCGATATAACTGTTCCAGTAACAGTAGTCAGTTGCAAAGTCTGAGGACTCCAGTGGATGCAGACGGCCAGATTCAGCAGTGTAATGATTACCTTGGATGCGACTATGAAGAGGGTGGTTTCCGGGTTCAGCTCAGCCAGAGTTTTGGCCATGTGCGTGCCGTCAATGTTTGACACAAACCAAACACGGGGGCCGCCTTTGGAATATGGCTTCAGGGCTTCTGTGACCATCAATGGACCCTGAAAAACAGCAAATTCATTAGAGGTGGACATGTTTCCTCAAACACATTGACAAGCGGCATGATTATTAATAGCGGTCTTCTCTGGAGTTGCATTTTAAGTTGAAATGCATACAGTACTTGTATTACATAAAAAGGGGGAAGAACTTACCAGATCGGAGCCGCCAATACCAACGTTCACCACATCGGTCATGGCTTTTCCAGTGTAGCCCTTCCAATCTCCACTGCGCACTTTCTAAAGGAAAGACAGACATTACCAGTTCAGTCTTTACATGCTCTGCCACTACACACAGTTACCATCTTCTCTGACCAGCAGACCCTACCTGGCAGAACGCCTTCATCTTCTCCAAGACCGCATTGACTTCTGGCATGACATCCTTACCATCCACATTGATGGGAGTGTTGGAGCGGTTGCGCAGAGCGATATGAAGCACAGCGCGGTTCTGGAATGTTAAACAAAAAGGACTGATAAGTGTGCAATTCAATATTTAAAATTGATACATTGCTCCGGGTCACCTCATAATTAGCCTTTTACATCCCAGCATTGGATCATAAAAGGGGTGCTAGACCCCTCCTCCTCCTCTACTGGCAAACATTGGTGGTCCCCTTTGCTGCTACTCATTGAAGGCAACTATAATGTGGCATTCCGAGCAACAGCCAAAAGTAAATAGACCTTCTACCCAAAACTGGATTGTAAACCCAGGCAGTCTATCATGGGTTCCACCCTGTCTGGGTTCCCAGGTCTGTACACCTGGTGTGCCCATTACGAGGGACTTCCACCATCCCTGTGCCAAGTACCTGAGTGTGTACACCCGCTGTGCCCATTATGAGGGGTTCCTACCATCCCGGTGCCGAGTTCCCGGGTCGCCACACTGGCTGTGCCCATTATGAGGGGTTCCCACCATCCTTGCTGGATTTTTATTTTAGTACACAAGACAATGTCACAGGAGGAGCTGGAACATCCAAACTCAGGTGAACAAAGCCAGGATCTCTCACCTTTTGAGTACCTAAGACATACAAAAACTCACGGCTGCATTTTGTGGTTTCTGGATGGAGTAAGACATCAGGTTATATTGCAGTTTACCAGGCTATACAGGCCCAAGAACACCCTTCCTGTCTTTAGGGGGACAATGCTGTATCTATGGAGGAGCAGCATAGTCACCCTAGGACAGGAAGTGTGTTAGGCCTACAGAACACCTACCCATATCTATATCGGGGGGGGTGTTTGGAGGGTTAGTGCCCAGGTATAAAAGCATCACTGTTAAGCCCTGAAATATTTGCCTTCCAGTTATGCTTTAGCACAGCAGCCAAATCAAACCAAAGCACACCCAGAAAAGGGCAGAGCAGTTCTGTTCAATACACTATACTATAAAGAGAACCCTCAGGTGAACCCGCCGATTCCCTGCCAAATACTCTATCTGCGAGCCACTCCCTGTTATACTATAAAGATTACAGCCGAGTCATTACACATAGACACTTTATCTGATGAGACAGAACAGGACTGTGCAGGGCGGCACTGCTGGAGGCGCTGCACAGGAGTCACGGGATGAACGGGCACAACGTACAGAAAATTGGCATAAGAAATGCTCCGTGCTTGGCAACACCAGCACAGCTTACAAAGAGACAAATTTAACCCCATACACCCCATTCCTCTACAAAGACCAGCACAGAGCATGCAAACTCATTTTATTGCCCTATGCCCCCCTATGGATGGTGTCAGAGCAGCCAAAGTCAAATGACGTTTACATTGATGGGTCCTAGGCCTGCCCCAGCTCGTTACTCAGATCTCCAAAAGGCACCGGTGGGTTGCTTTTGTTCGAAGTCTTTCACAAAATGTATACACAGAAGATATTTGGTGGTAAAGCTAATGGCTGTACCTCAGTGAAGTTAATCTTCTCGGCAGAGAACATGCGCTTCCTGGCTGCCTCGATGCCTCTTGATTGGGCCTGAAGAGAAAAAAAAAAAATAATAAAAAGTATTAAAACAAAGTCAGATCCACACAGCAAGAAATTAGAACCCTCCCGCCAACTCCCACTATAGCAGGCAATTAAGACCCTCCCACCCGTTCCCCCACATGGAAAGCAATGAGAACCCTTACCCCCAGTATGCAATGAGGACCATATCACCCATTCCCCCACACGGCAAGCAATGAGGACCCTCGTATCCACTTCTCCACACAAGCAATGTGGACCTCCACAGCTAGAAAATGGCCTCTCCTTTACGGTTCCTCTTTCTCAACACAGGTCTATCAGTTTGCTCCCTGACTAAACAAGCTGTCCAATAGGACAACTGATTTTCTCTCAGCACCTGAGGAGTATGAAGCTATGGAACATGAAAATGTGAACAGGGACGCTATCAATATTGGTCAATCTAATTCCAGAAATCTAGCTACACTCAGATTCTGTCCCTTCAAAATACATTAAACTCAATGCTGCACGACATCTACAACCAGCCGTGGCTTTGTGTACGCTCCCTGGACACCATGGCTCAGCGTGTACGCTCCCTGGACACCATGGCTCAGCGTGTACGCTCCCTGGACACCATGGCTCAGCGTGTACGCTCCCTGGACACCATGGCTCAGCGTGTACGCTCCCTGGACACCATGGCTCAGCGTGTACGCTCCCTGGACACCATGGCTCAGCGTGTACGCTCCCTGGACACCATGGCTCAGCGTGTACGCTCCCTGGACACCATGGCTCAGCGTGTACGCTCCCTGGACACCATGGCTCAGCGTGTACGCTCCCTGGACACCATGGCTCAGCGTGTACGCTCCCTGGACACCATGGCTCAGCGTGTACGCTCCCTGGACACCATGGCTCAGCGTGTACGCTCCCTGGACACCATGGCTCAGCGTGTACGCTCCCTGGACACCATGGCTCAGCGTGTACGCTCCCTGGACACCATGGCTCAGCGTGTACGCTCCCTGGACACCATGGCTCAGCGTGTACGCTCCCTGGACACCATGGCTCAGCGTGTACGCTCCCTGGACACCATGGCTCAGCGTGTACGCTCCCTGGACACCATGGCTCAGCGTGTACGCTCCCTGGACACCATGGCTCAGCGTGTACGCTCCCTGGACACCATGGCTCAGCGTGTACGCTCCCTGGACACCATGGCTCAGCGTGTACGCTCCCTGGACACCATGGCTCAGCGTGTACGCTCCCTGGACACCATGGCTCAGCGTGTACGCTCCCTGGACACCATGGCTCAGCGTGTACGCTCCCTGGACACCATGGCTCAGCGTGTACGCTCCCTGGACACCATGGCTCAGCGTGTACGCTCCCTGGACACCATGGCTCAGCGTGTACGCTCCCTGGACACCATGGCTCAGCGTGTACGCTCCCTGGACACCATGGCTCAGCGTGTACGCTCCCTGGACACCATGGCTCAGCGTGTACGCTCCCTGGACACCATGGCTCAGCGTGTACGCTCCCTGGACACCATGGCTCAGCGTGTACGCTCCCTGGACACCATGGCTCAGCGTGTACGCTCCCTGGACACCATGGCTCAGCGTGTACGCTCCCTGGACACCATGGCTCAGCGTGTACGCTCCCTGGACACCATGGCTCAGCGTGTACGCTCCCTGGACACCATGGCTCAGCGTGTACGCTCCCTGGACACCATGGCTCAGCGTGTACGCTCCCTGGACACCATGGCTCAGCGTGTACGCTCCCTGGACACCATGGCTCAGCGTGTACGCTCCCTGGACACCATGGCTCAGCGTGTACGCTCCCTGGACACCATGGGTCAGCGTGTACGCTCCCTGAACCCTGGACACCATGGGTCAGCGTGTACGCTCCCTGAACACCATGGGTCAGCGTGTACGCTCCCTGAACCCTGGACACCATGGGTCAGCGTGTACGCTCCCTGAACCCTGGACACCATGGGTCAGCGTGTACGCTCCCTGAACCCTGGACACCATGGGTCAGCGTGTACGCTCCCTGAACTCTGGACACCTTGGTTCGGTAGCTTATCCCTCATACAAGTGATCTGTATAGAAGGGGCCGGAAAGTAGTTTGAAGGGCGTTTGTGATTTCATATTCTGGGACCTAAACTCCTATCCAAAAGTAGGAATCCGGATTCATCAGAAGAATGTGGACAGAAATTCATTACACCATGCCGAACCTCAAAACCTGCAGCACCTATGTTAGTGAATACACAGCGTCTGCCACTGAAGGACTACAACTCCCAGAATACCCCTAAAATACTGAAATGAATGGACTACTTACAAGTTCTATGAGCAGCTTGAAGACCTCTTCAGTGATGAGATTCTTTGAGTAGTCCACCAAGATGTCTCCATTGCCGGTCTGCAGGGTTTTACTGCAAAGAGAAGAAGAGGAAATAAAACAGAATACAATATAACAACCTCTACGTAAATTGATTACATCTGATCACATGATTACCAGGTTACCAAACAGGAAATCTAAACCCAAATCACTAACATCTCATATCCTATCCTGGAGTGCTAGGTATCCAGTCACCCATGATCACCCTTTTTTTTTTTATAAAGCTGAACTCCGGATCAGCAAACATTGTCCTCATAAAAGGTCCATGTGTGTTCATGAATCTTGGTGAGCTTTGTGTATTTCTTCCAGTCCGAGATTTGGAGCTTCCTGTAATAAGACAGCTCACTGCTGCTCTCTCATTGTGCAGGGTGACTGGTCTTGTCTCCGCCCCCTCCTGTAATAAGACCACTCACTGCTGCTCTTTGTGCAGGGTGACTGGTCTGGTCTCCGCCCCTCCCTCTTTATGCAGGGCGGTTTAGTCTCCACCCCCTCCTGCAATAAAGACCACTCATTGCTCTCTCCTTGTGCAGGGTGACTGGTCTCGTCTCCGCCCCCTCCTATATAGTCAGTGGAGCCTGCTGGGTCCCTCACACAGCTCTGCTCAGGCCATCTACAGTACAGTGAGGCTTCACTGCTACACTTACAGGATAATATCCAAGTTTGCAAAGGCATTTAGCGCACACAAAGTGGGTTTATGGCTATTGAGGAATATATTTATATGAAAGTTTGTGCCTGCAGTTTAGCTTTAAGTAAACTTTGCGATAACAAAGAGGAGGAGGAGATGAGCCAATGTTCACAGGGACAAAGGCCAGAAAATGTGGAGTCCTCAGGCAGTGGAGGTTCAGGAAGCATTTTTGTACAAAAGAGGAAATGTCACGGAGAAACCGGCTGGAGAGAAGCTGCATAGAAGAATTCACGGCATCAGTATAGCCATCATTCCGGCCACAAAGGGGCAATCACATTCTGAGCCACCTGCATGTGTGTGCAGGGGGAGACTGAGGAAATGCTCCCTCCTGCCTGCAACAGACTGACCACTGGGGGAGGGGAGACTGAGGAAATGCTTCCTCCTGCCTGCAACAGACTGACCACTGGGGTAGGGGAGACAAGGAAATGCTTCCTCCTGCCTGCAACAGACTGACCACTGGGGTAGGGGAGACTAAGGAAATGCTTCCTGCAGTTCTGGACCTCACACCACCTGCAGCACAGACTCCAGCTCCACATGAAATAATAAAATTGCAGAACAATCTGCATTGCCGAAACACATTGCCATCATTGACCAATTTTGCACAAGAGGTTATGAAAGCGGAATGTTTGCCAACACGCTTCTGCCCGGAGACCACAGGAGCTGCTTCTTCTGACAAACGCCTGCAGCCAACGACGCGCAGGGCAACACGGCGCATCTGAAGGTCATCTATATATAGACGCAGCAAAATCTAGGAGACGACCATGTACAGTGCAGTCCTATCAGGGCAAGCTCAACGCGCCAAATCCTTCTCCAAAAAATAAAAATAAAAAAACATTCCATATTGACATAATGAAGTTTGTTCTCACAAAAATTAAACGGAAACTTTGTATTTTAAAGGGCTTGTTCACCTGAGTTAGTGCGTTCCAGCGCAGTGATCTGCTGGAACACACTGCATTGCATCCCCGCCAGCTTCCTGTGTTCAGGGGCGGGAGAGGGCATGGCAGTGCATTGAAGTCAATGCCACCGCAGCCACACCCCCTGCCTGCACCAGAACACATGGCAAAATAATGCCTGCGTTCCAGTGTGTTTTAAAAAAAACACAAAAACCAAAAAAAAAAACATTTAGCAAGCACTGGCCCGGAACACAGGCATAGTTTTGCCCCCTCTGAGCGTAGGAAGCCGGCCCGGGATGTAATAGCTGCTGGAAGGCACCAACTCCTGTGAAAGAGCTCTAAAAACAGATTACAAATAAAGCCGTGGTGGAACTACAAATCCCGCCATGTATCAGATATGCATCATGGGATTTGTAGTTCCTCAGCAGCCGGAGTTTGCTTACTGCTGCCATAAAGGGGTTTCCAATTCACTTCCTGTTTGAGACCAAACAGGAAGCATAGAGTGTATGCTCCTTTGTACAACACTACAGAAATATTTATTGTTTTGTACAGAGAACACTGAGCCAGTCCCATCAGTCTCTGTACAGAGGAGCTTACACTCTAATGTATCCCCCACAGTCACACACTATTATACATTTATATAGCTCCGACATATACTGCAGCAGGGCAGCCATCAGGGGGGGTACGGCCAATACTCATGCAAGGGGCTCGGGCAGCCTGGGGGGCCCGCCCGGGTCCCTTACATGACTATCGGCCAACGGCGAAGGGAGAGGAGGCGGAGGCCCGGCCCTAGCAGCGCAGGGCCCCGGCATTGCCGCTCCAGCGGCTTTGAGACAAGCTAGGGCCCAATCAGCGACGCTGCTCGTCTGATGTCGGACTGGCCGGAAGTGACGTGATGTCACTTCTGGCCGGTCCGGCGGCAGACGAGGCCATGTGTGCAGGTAAGAGGAGCTAGGAAGGAAGGAAAGGAGGGAGGGATGCAGCCCTGACCAGCCCACCGGAGACCCCTTCAGAGCCCACCATAGACAGTGTCAGATGGGGTGTGCAGCATCTATGGTGGGCTCTGCAGGGTCACTCAGGTGGGTCCTGTGTCCATCGCGTCACTAAGCCCTGCGTCCAGCGGCGCGGGGGAGGGCCCGACCTAAAGCCATGTAAGTGGCCCCAAAATTTCTGATGGCTGCCCTGTACTGCAGTGCTGTACAGAGGACACCGAGCCAGTCACATCAGTCTCTGTACAGGAGGAGCTCATTATGGTCACATTTGTTCCTCAATAAATTACTATTTAGCGACATATAACAGACGCCTGCGCTCGGTATGACGAGAGGGTTTGTGTGGTCAGAAAATGTGGAACAATGAGCCGCAGGTTTCCAAATCTCCGGTGTGTGGGGCAAAGTATTTGTCAAACATCTCTGTATGAAGAAAGAAAGCGGAGCCCAACCCTGCACAGTCATGCCAGGTTGACAAAGAAGAAAAAATTAAATGGGAGGGGGCGCCCCATAGGGCTGTGTGTGTGTGTGGGGGGGGGGTGACTGTCACCTTACAGCTGCCAGGTGAAAAGCTAGATATCTGATGTATATATACACCCGTAGACTTCAGGGGCCCATTCACTTGGCACGTTTGTGATGCATTAACTTTTCCACAATGTTGAAATTAGCATTATGATGACAGATTTATGTTAAATGAGGTGACCAAGTGCCACAAACTGCGCTGGACCCTTTTTTGGCAACGCAAAGCGGTACATCACTAATGAATCGGGCTGCTATTCAAAATGATGGCAACACGAGTGTGGTGCGGAATGCATCCCAGTAGCACATGCAACACAAAAAAGGTGCGACACCAACCTAAGGGCCCCGCTCACAACGTTATGGTCTGTATAAAGTGCAGGCATGCGTCTGTTGCAATGATTCGCAATGTTTACTTTTTTTTTTTTACTTTATTGAAACATCACAAAATGACACTTCATGCAACTCTATGCACAGCAGCACCGTGTTGGTGTGTTTTTTTTGTGCTGCATGCTTAAGCAACGCACCTGTGAACAGGAGGCATAGAAAACAGGGGGTTCGAGACTCCATTGCAAGTTGGGGGCAGAAACCCTCACTGTCCTTAAGCAGCAAGGGGCCCCATACAGACTAGCATTCTATCCTAGGGCCCCGAAATATCAGTTTAGATAAAATGATCCACAAAGTGTATGAATTTGCCACCTTATAGGAAGCTTCAGCTGCAATGACGACAATTCAAGATCTCCACAGAAAGACGAATTATGTGCTGGAACCTATGGCAACCAGGCCATTCCATTTGTTAATAAAAACAGTGAAGGGGACTGCTGTGGCTATGGGTTACCACTCTGCTGTTGCTATAAGCTACTACCCTGTATACATCACTGTTATGGGTTACGGCCTTGCAATCTGCACAGTGCTATGGGTTACCCCCTGCATGCATCATTTCTACTGCCCTGAACACATCTCCATTACTATGCGTTACCAGCCTGTACACTTCACCATTACTGGCCTTAATCACCGTTGTCATGCGTTACCCCTTGTATCCAATCACCATTACTGCCTTGTATACATCAATCTTACTATGTGTTACCAAGCCTGTATCCAATCACCATTACCACCCTGTATACATCACCGTTGCTATGCGTTACCCCTTGTATACATCACTGTTGCTATGGGCTACCCCGTGTATACATCACTCTTACTATGCGTTACCAAGCCTGTATACATCATTTTTGCTATAGGTTATCCCTTTATAAAATAACAGTTCCTATGGATGACCCCATGGATAAACGACTGTTGCTATGGATGACCCCCTGGATAGCCAACTGTTGCTAGTGATGACCCCATGCGTACATGGTCTTATTACATAACATCCATGGCTGAATCCCCAGAACAAACATCAGCCAGTAAAAACCTCTGATGAGGACACAGATGCGCCATCAATAAGAGGAGCAGGAGGGAGCTCGCTGCATTAATAATGCACAGATGCTCTTCGTACATCATGATCACGATGCTGGCTCAAGGACGCAGGAGACTGTACGGGGCCCCCCCCAACGCACTCCTATAATGAGTGTACAGGAAGGCTCAGGGTGATCTCAGAGCTGCAGGGATGTGACCCCAGGCACGTAGCAAACCACAAGGATGAATGAAGGGCACACGCAGCACGGGGCCCCGCTGAAAATTCACTTCAAGGCCACTGGTGGGGGACAGGGGGTACCCTGGGGGTCTCCTCCACCCCAAAAAAAAAAAAATTATTAAACTTGACAAGCTGAGGGAACTGATTCAGCATAGCAACATGCATTAACCCCTCCAGCACAGAATCCAATACAGCTCATCAACTACCCGATAAAGTAGACATCATACAGAGGTGGACCTGTGCCCTACTGCACAGGGGCCCCCAGGGGATTAGAGGCCTATTTATACATTGTGAAGAAGAGTTTGTGCCTGTGCAAAGAAAGGCTTCTCGGCCCAGGGTCCCCCTTTGTGGAGTACGTGAAACTGCACAAGGGCTCCAAGAGACTTAAGGGCCTGTCTACCCATAGGGACTGAGTGTTTGGGCAGTAGCAGAGCAAAGGTAACGGAGATAGTTCTGGCCCAGGGGCCTTTTGGTGATTATGTGCAGCTGCCCAAGGGCCACAAGAGCCTAAAGGGCCCATCTACCCATAGGGAATAAGTGCTGGGGCAGTAGTTGAGCAAAGGGAACCAAGAAAGGTCTGCCCCAGGGGCCCTTTGGTGATTATGTTCAGCTGCCCAAGGGCCCTTAAGATAGATAGAGATATTTTTTTAAATAACCACACCCCCTTTTTAATTTCCCAATTGTGGCATAGCATAGGCCTTGCAGCACCAGAGCTCTGAACAATTTCCAGTAAGGGCTACCTCTGCATGCAAATGTTATTGCCTTCCCCCCCCCCCCAAAAAAAAATATTCAGGAGGGAATCCACCACGCAAATTTCCTCCCAGGTGCCAGCTTGTAGGCAAGTTAGAAAATGGGTCATTATGGTCCT